ACACCAGATGATGATGGATTCTCATGAATAGTCCTTTAAATTCCTAATGACTTTGTATTTTAATTACCAACACCCCAGTTTATGTACTGTACATGTAACCTGTTGATGTTGCCCATTAATTATCGAATGGCCGCTGCATGAAGTTGTCATGGACTAATGATGTGGCTCGCAGGAAGGAAGAAAAACAAATCACGGGCAGAGAACATGAAACAAATGGAAGGACAGAAGGACAGAGAAATGTACACATAACAGCTCTTACTCACTCCTTTTCCTTATTACACGCTCACGGATTTCTTGAACACCCCCGCTGCGATTTGTGTCATCACCGGTGTGATCGTCATCAGGTGAGAAGAGGAGCAGTGGGCTCTCTTTGATTCCCTCGTGTATCCATAGTAACAGCCGCCCCTCAACAACGGGGGTCAAGCCCAGAAGGTTGATGAGCGGGATACTGCGCCTCCTCCTCCTCCTCTTTTTCAGCAGAAAGTACAATTTATTTTATTTCTTTTTTACAATTTATAAACGCTCACATCAAAGAAGAAAATATCTGAGAGGAATGCAACCTTTAAAGAATCAGATTTTCCTTTTTTCTTTTCTTCTCTGGAACATTTCTGGGTCCTGTTGACGATGTGACATCTCAGTTCTTTAATCTTTAAAGCAGTTCTGTGCTTTGAAATCTTGCTGTTATGGTACAAAGCCCTGGACAGACGGTTATTCATATTCATTTGTTCACACAACTGCTGAGTTGGGGAGTTGACTTTGAGAGCAAAATGAGGTGATGAGTTGCGTGCCCATAGAGTGTTAAGTGAAGTTTGAAACTGGCTCCAAGTATTAGAGTTAAGGGAGGATGAGCCTGGCAAATTGTCAGAGCTCAGAATCTGTGGGATGACCTCTACAGATCGGTCCATTAAAGGGAAAAGGAAGTAACTCATCAAAAAAGAAAGACATTACTTTAAGTGATTTCTTTATATATATATATATATATATATGGTAGATGAGTATGAGTCATGGGATGCTGGTAGAAAGCTGATTCTGCCAGATGGTGTGTTGAACCTACACGCACTACTCCTCCTCATGGACAGATGTTTGTCGGTGTGGCATGTGAGTGGATGCCCGGGCAGTTTCCGGGATAACCTTTTTAAAGAGGACGACAAAGCTCTGCAGATGTTTTGCTCTCAGGAATGATCCAGAGCTGTCCCGGCTATCTGTTTCCACATTTGTGTTCACTGACTGAGAGAGCTAATATACAGCACTTGCTCGGATGTGCTCGTTCTCAGAAATGAACTCGTTATCTACGAAATTGTCAGGATGTGAAGTCTACCACCCTGTCCTACAACAATAGTTGGAAATTTTGAAGCAGAACTGTTAAGAGCTTGTATCTTGTGGAGTTTTTGATAAGAAGTACTGTGCAATAATGGTTAAAATAATTTACATTTTATATATACGCTTGTTGAAGGTTATGTGCCAACAAAAGAGAAAAAGGAAGACAGCCTGCTGAACAATGCAGGATAAAAAGCTTTATCTAAAAAAAGTGGACAAAATTCAATGAACTGAATGTCAGGAGGAGGATCCTCGGCAAGAAAACAGATGATTAAGACTTTGAGTGTGAGTCATTTTTTCTCCTGTAGTTCCAAAATGTAACTTAAATCAATTTATTCAACAAGGAAAGAAAATCCTTCCACTGTGCCAAAATGTTGCTTCAGCTATGCAACTTCTTTTCCTACAATTTATGTCATTGGTATTTACAGTTATGACAAACTGGTACAAGTTTTTTTTTAACATTTGAATTATCTCACTCTTAATGACAAAGCAACGTTAAGCACAGTCAGTGAATTTATTAAGCAGAATTGATGTTAATAAGTCACAGAGACGTATAACTTGGCCAGGTAGAGCATATGATTGGATAGAGTTACTATAGAGTAACACCCACCCCCCCTTTCAACTCCAAAAAGGCTGCAGGGAAAGGAGGTTTCAAATGTTGCAAGCACTTATTTTGAAAAATACTGAGGCCTTTTGTTTCCCCAACAAAGTTCATTGATGCAGGTTTGAAAATGAACACAAAGACTGTCATTTTTTCAGTAAGTAAATAAGTAAAACGTAAGAACAAATCAGGACAAGGGAGCTTCAGTAAAATGCCTTTTTAAAGGGAAGAAAACACGATTTGTTAGAAGTACAAGACTGTACAGACAGCATGTTCTATGAGAAACCGTCTTTGTTTAATGCAAATTACAACTTGAATGTTCTGTAATAAATCCTGTGGAGGCTGTAATGGTGTTGTCATGTGAGACTGACCAGAAAATGACTTTGAGCCACAACTGAAATGCAGTGGTGAGGTCAGTGGTTCACCAGACTCTTTTGAAAAGTCTGAACTGAAGCCTTAGCCCATATTCACAGCCTCGGTCCCTAAGTTCCATTCCCTACTCTCTGAAATGCAAATCGGAGACAAAGCATAAATGTAAGGGCCTGCAGAGTTTCTCATCAAGGCTCATTTTTGGGGCAGCAAGGCTTATGATGCCACAGCTCCCGCCCAGGAAAATTTTATTTTAATATCTGAATGACAATACATTAAACAGAGAAATTCTTTTAACCTAATTTTTCAGCCTGTGGTCTGAGGAAGCGATAAGAGACGGGCTTCTTCTGCTAATCCCTCTTATGTAGGTCACATGGCTCAACTCAGCAGCCTTTAATTCATGTATTACTTGATGGGGCCCGGCCACTGCTGTCATAGCTCACGCTGGCACAATGCGCTAGTCTTCCAGTGGCTCTGGGGTAAATCTGTAACCCACTAACAAGATCACCCGTGAAGAGTACACCTCTGCGCTTTCCACGCCGCTCAGCTGTTTTCAGCAATGCTGGGATCCTGCAAGAGAAAAAAAAAGTGACAAACCCGCACATTCATACAAAATTGAGCTACAGCTAATTATTATTTTCATTATCAATTATCAATTTTCTTATTAATTTATTTCACAGTCTCACAGTGCTTGTTTTGTCTGACTGAAACTCAACCCAAAGATGTTCAGTTTACAGTGGCGTAAAACAGAGACAAACAACAAGTCCTCACATTTAATGAAAGAAAAAGTTTGGCTCGAACAAATGATCAAAGCGATGAATCGATTATCAGTTTTCCCCTTTTGGCTTGTTGTAACCTTAACGGTAACCCAAATCCTACCGTTACATCTAGTCATGATTCCAACGCTGGCCCCTTGTTGTGTTTAAACTCGTGAACACTGAATGTCAGCAGGATCCTTTTTTGTCTAGACCTACTTCTTCTAATATACTCTCTCTCTGTCTGTCTCTCTGTCTCTCTCTCTCTCTCTCTCACTCTCTCTGTATTTGTCTATATTTAGCTTTCTCCAAAAAACAAAGCCCTTACGTGTTACTTCATGCTTCCTGCAGCCCCGTGACACTTGTCTCAGGTGCAACGTGGAACAGAGTGTTGGGGCTTTTATTCTGAAAGGCTTTCTCCTCGATCCTCATTTGTTTGGGACAAAAGCTTCTGCCAGACGAATAAGTGCGAAGTGTATACATGTTTACCACTGGATGGTGATAGATGACATCCACACACACTCATACAGAGCTTACTTCATGAGGCCGGGGGGGGGGGGTGCGAAGCCGCTGAAGTCTCCAGACACGGATCGTTATCTGAGTGGCTGATGAAAAAGTGACTCCCAGTTCTTTGATGCGTCGCCTCTGTGTCTCCGCTAGAGTATCTGATAGATGATTATGAAGCCGTCAGGCGTTTTGAGAGGTGTGGCAGGTTTGATGAAGATTCATGGTCTGATAGTAGGTGGACCTGCTGGTTTGTCAGGAGAGGGCGCTGTTGTTCTTTCTCTTTCAAAGATGCAGCAACTCAGACCACAAAAAATACAGTCTCACAATGTCTCTTAGATTCGATCCTAGAGGCAGAAAATTGAAGTTTGATTAATTTAATTTATTTATTTTTATTGTTTAGTGTATTTAAGAGCTGTAGTGCACATTATTTTTCATCTGTAGTCTCTGCATAAAGGCAAATAGCTAAAGTAACAGTAATAGGAGCATGCAGAGAATTAACAATTAGTACAATACAATACAAACAGTAATTAAAATGTACATATAGACAGACACATAAAACATGAATTTTGGTTTAGGTTCCTCTTTACAATGCCGTTTAGATCTTTTTAATGTATTTCTTTTCATACTATCCCTTCGACTGCCCAATGAGTCTCTGAGTGTTTTATTGTTTTATTAGTAGCACAAATTAACAACATCTTTAACTGAATCAAATATGGTTACTGAAGGCATATTACTGTCACAATAATTTAAAAAATGTTTAGTAATACTGGAGAACTTATCCCTAAGAGCTTTTTCCAGAATGTTTAAAATGCTGAAATGATAAAATGCAGAGTTGTTTCACATAGTTAAACAGCAGCAGCAGCTTTAGCGCTCCTCCATCATCCTGTGATTGCATTCAACAGACGCTGCTCATAAAAAGTGTCAAACCTTAGACTTAAACTCTATAACTCTTCTTGATTGATTTCCTATATGATCAGTTTCCCTGTAACAGACGTTTTATAGATTGATTTTATGGCTGCAGTGCGTTCACAAAGCTGTAAAGACATGAGCACTTGTTGTAAGAGAGCAGCGGCTCAGCAGCATCAGGTCTGCCTCCTGTTTACAGTATCATCCCTCAGCTGTCGACCTTTGCTGCGACTCTGCGCGTGGAAATTATATGTCAGTCTTTTGCAAATGGGTGTTTAGGTTAAGAGATTACGTCAAACACACACACACACACACACATCCATGCACAGAATTCACAGCTTGCTGGTTAATGATGCTCTCAGGCTGCAGACCCCCCCCACCACCCTCCCTCCATGCCTCTTCCTTATTCAAAGCCAGCAGGGCTGACTGGAGCCTCGACCAGCCAATCAGCAGGCTGCATCCCACCTTTGTCATCAGCCAGTGTTGGAGGAAGGGATTGGCTCGTGTGATCTGAGCTTGGAAGGCAGATGAAATGCCAGGTTTGATCTGCCTCTGGGGACAACCAGGCTGCCTTATAATGGGAACCAACACTCGCTCAGCTCGGGGGCAATAACATCCAATTCAGCATCAGGAAAACACAGAGCCCCACCTTTTTTTTTTCTTTTTTTTTCCTCTTATCTGCTGCTCTGGTGTGGTCTTGTTGCTCTGTGGTCTACCTTCATGTGGAGAAAGAGACTGCTGGTGGGCTCTTGTCATTCTCCTGACCTCATCATCCATCCTCTCTGGAACAGGTTGATCTTTTTCTCTTCCTGTCTGTTTTTTTTCGCGCCGTGAAGCTGCTTTTTGGAATCTCACTCCTCCATGTACGATAACTTGTACCTACATGGATTTGAAGACTCGGAGGCGGTGAGTGGAGGGGGGCGTCTGACACTTGTAAAACCATGCTTTTTCTGTTGTGCCGTGGCGAGTTGATCTCTACACAAACACCCACAGAATGCAGCGAGACTTGAGTGGGCTGAACGTGCGCTCCTCTCGGGGGAGTTGGAAGAGGTTGGGGGAAGGGTGTGCACAAGTGTCTGTGTGTGTGTGTGTGTGTGTGTGTGTGTCGGCGTGCGTGTTTTTGAGTGAGTGTGTGTCTTAGGGCTCCTCAATCACCCAACTGTACAGTTTTCTCACTGATGCTGCCAGCCAGGTGACGGTTTTCTCCTCCTGTCTCGACTAAGCGTCTGCAGATCTGAACAGTATTTCCTCACCATCTCTCCATATGGATGAATGGTCGGTATGCATGCTGTAAAGCTCCGTTTATGAGCATTGTGGGTAATTGTATGTGAGCATCTCTCTGTGATTCCCAGCAACATCTTGTTCTTTACCGGTGGCAGAGAACCAGCGTCTTCCTTTGTGGCTTCATTTGTATTTTTCTCACTTGTCTGTTTGTCTCTCCCTTCATCACTTAATCCCACTGGACGTCATCAAGGTTACTGCCGAGACCAACAGTTATAATCATAATGATCACACACTGTATCCATCTGTACGAGACTCGTGTGCTGTTGCATAAACCTGCGACGTCTTTCACACAAGACAAGAACGAACGCTCGTCAATAAGTATAAATTCTCATCTTTTCCACACACACACACACACACACACACACACAAGTGCCGCTACACACACACAGACAGACCTACACACCGCCTTTGATACAGAGAGGCAAACATTACTATTGACAGGCAGAGTGGGCATCCGTGGGATAAAAATGTGTCGGAGCAGCAGAAAAAAATCAATAAATGTAGGAGCTGCTCCTGGGTGGGGGAGAGGGAGGTGGGTGGGGGAGAGGGAGGTGGTGGGGATGGGGGGGTGTGGGTGGGGATGGGGGGGAATCCCACTGAGCCAGAATCTGTCAAGACCTTTCGGTAACTCCACCTGACATCCTGGTTGCCTCTTGAAGATTAAAGGTGGAGGGACATTTTCACTCTATCTGCCAGTATTATCAAGGGAGTGTAGGTTCTGTATTAGGAAAATCGATCTCCATCTGTCCGGTCTAGTTCTGTCAGTGGTGTCACAGTCCACATTCCAGTCTAGTCAAGTTCTTCCAAAGTGGAAAAACTTTTTTCTGTATTTACCCAGCTTTGTGCACAGGAGCGTTTTCATGTTAAAACAGGAAAGCCCAAACAATGAGAAAATAGCTTCAGGGTAAAAGCGCACAAGAGTGTCTATATACTTTTGGCCAGATAGCTGTTGTGAAGTGTTGAGGAGTCACAGGTTTGCTGGGTGGATTATTTTACTGCTCCAAATTCCCATTTAAAAGATCTGAATGGTTTCCTCAGCATCTCTCACAGAAGCGCGGGATTCCTGGAGATAAGCAGACAGTGCTATGAGTCGTTATATCATGGTCAGCTGTTTCGCTTTGTATCCGAGAAGACATGTTCAGCCACCGTTGCTATGGTGCCAAAGAGGCCGAAGGATTTAGCACATGCAGAACTTTGCTGATACAACTGGGAAAATTCTCTGCAGCTGCTGAATTAAGCTGCTGAACGTTTCATCAGGTTTCTACAAGGTTGAAACCTGCAATTTTTTGGGAGCAGTGGAAACAAGCTGTGAACACTACATTGACATTTGAAGTTGATATGGTGACTTTAATAATAAACAGTTGTTATTTACACATCCAGCAGACACAGATCAACATTCATGTTTCTCAACTCTTTTAGCTCTGTTCTGCTCACCCGCTATAAGCACTTCTGTCACTTTAGTAGTTTTATTATTCATGAAAATATTCATTGGAGTTGACTTTTCTCCAGAAGCGTGTATATTTGATTTTTCTTTTGTATCCAAGAAGCAGATATTTTGAGTTTCATGTCTTTTGTTAGCCACCTAACATTGTCTATGCACAAAATAAACAGGGCATCCAGAACCCTGGCTTCCCAAAATAACTACCTCAAATTTGTTGCTCTATATGTCCCTGACAGTACAGCACAATCCAACAACGCCATCTGTTTCCTGTTGTTTCAGCTGTTGTTATCATGTGGTATTGTTCCATTATTATGGGTCTAAATAACTGATGAGGCTATTTACTTCCACCTCAGACTGTTCAGGAAATGCAGCCTCTGTAAAATCCTAATATTCTCAAGCACACTGCCTCATTCAGTTTGTTCAGAGACTGTATGATTAGTTTATGGCTTCATCACTGCTGATTCAGCTGCAGGTTCAATATATTTTTTTGACTGAGACTTTTTTTCAATTCCAATCAAGCAGTAACTCCATGTCATGTGTCAATATAGCCGGCACGTGGATCTACTTCTTTTGTCTACTTTCACGCCACTCATAGAATCCAAACTTACAAAACTTGTTCACACACTCTTAGAGCTGCCGTGTTTGGATTTCAGTCTCGTTGCATCTTCAACCTGCACTGACTCTCTCACGTGACTCATTTCCAGTTGATTTTTCCATGAATGTGTTAAAGAGACATCGTTTGGCGCTCCGACCACGAATGTAATGTGGCATGTGTGCGTCTCTTTCCGGCGCCGCCTTGCTCTGTGTTCATACAGCTGCCACAAAAAACTTCGACATGATTTCTTGAAATTACCAATGTGACAACAGAATTGCACCACGCACCACTTCTTCCCTTCCCCGTCTTGCAGGAATGATGTAACTCACTTACTACAGTTCTGCACAGTTCTGCACATATACAGTGTTGTTGAATGTATGACTCACCTTTTACAAAAGCTCTTATGTAAAATACAAAGTGTAGTAAACCTGCTTCCTTGGCGAATTAGTAATTGTGCTATTGCAAGTGCGTTGGAAAGTTTCCACGTTTTGGGCCAAGTTTGTTTTGTTTTTTTTAAATGAGCCTAGAGATATTTACCCTCTGACTTCCTGGCTGCTGTTTGTACTGATGTCTAGTGGTGGATGTAATGAAGACAGAATGCTTTTAGCCTTTTATCCTGGGGCTGATAGGCGTGCAGGTCAGGGGAGGAAGAAGGATGGAGATGGGAGAACAGACCGGGCTCTGGCGTCCGAACAGATAAGGCTGGAGTGTGGCACGATGGACTCAAGACTGGCCACTTGACACTCCTAGATAATAACCTCACAAACAGCTCATTGTTTGGGTGTGTGTGTGTGTGTGTGTGTGTTGTGTGTGTGTGTGTGTGTGTGTGTGTGTGTGTGTGTGTAAAGAGACAGGAGACAGACAGTGAAGAGGGGGAGAGGTTGGTTGGCAGAGTTGTTACTTGTGTCTGTGCACATGATGGTAATTTTGGGAATGCTTCAAAGTGCCTCGTGCTCTGCTGAAGACTTTCTGCCCTGAATGACATCATCTTTGTCATTCATGCGTTCAAGGTTTCAGGAATGTAAAGTGACAAATGTAGGGACCAATATTAAAATGACCTTCTGTCTACTATAGCAGAAGTTCTCCGCACCTGTCTTTGAGAATTTGGTTAAATTAGCACAATGTGTTTTTATAGTTTTGGCAATTAATGTCAAATAGGTCACACCTAGAAGAATAAGGCAACCAATTAGAAAAAAGTATGATGACCTAAAATAAACTACTACTTCTTTTTTGGCCCAAAGTCCAACTTTCTACCAACTTTCACCCAAATCTGTTGTAGTTTTAGAGATTACTGCTGATGATTATGTTTGAAATTAAAGTCGCTGTTGAAGCTGAAAAACGAAACGGTTGCTGGTTCCAGTCTCTCAGATATATTTCTTTTTATGTTGAATGTCTTTTTTAAATTTTTACCTGTCTGTCTGTTGCCCCTGGCTCTTGCTACTTTTAATGGACACTTTTCACATTTTATACACTAAACCACTAATTAATTGATTGAAAAAATTAACCGCTAATGTAAATAATCATTGGTTGCATCCCTGTTTTAGATGTCTCGCAAACAAACACACGAGACTGAAAACCAACCAACACGTTGGGGTTAAAAACTGTGTTTCCAGAGAAGGTAACTCATTGCTGTAAATGGTGAAACATAAAGCAGGTTGCTCGTCTATAGTGACCAATGGGGGGTGATGCTTTTATTTTCCCCTCTCTCCAGTCCTCCAGTTATAGATTTCATTTGTAATGAGGCAGTAAATAACAGTTATTTGTTTCAAGGAAAGACTCCCATGGCTCTGAATGGATCATTAGCAGAGGCGCCTGGAAGCCCCGGACAAAGGCATTAATCCTCACTGTCCAGCCATGGCAGGTTGATTTCAAAGACTTACTGCAGTTCAAATCCTCTGTTGCACATTTGCCATTTATTTTCATTAAATTATTGATATGCAATCGTGTTATTTTTTTCACCGTACCCATGTAGTAGGCTCCCAACAATTCTGTACTTTTGGGTTTAGGACAAGAACAAGTCCTCTAGTTGTGTTTTCTTCTGTTCACAGTAGCAGTAGTACAGATTAAGTGTCCTCTGTCTTTGCATTTTTCATGATAGAATAGTTTGAAAGGATAACTCCTCAATAATAAATTGACTGTGTGTCACTCGACATCAGTCAAGCATGTAATTTACTCGGTGTTGGCGGGCCGACGGGACACATACAGTGGACCTACTATTTACCAAGTCATGATGATAATACAGAGTTCATCCAAAACAAACTGCACCTTTGTCTCTGTCATTAGTGACACATAAACAGCTGATCACGACAGAGAATGCAATCATGCAAAACATCTGCTCTCCTGTGAAAAGTGGCTGAGGACGGTAATTGGATGAGATGGTTGTGGAGAAAGGAGAGACTCTTTGCAGGAGAAGAAAGTGATGAACAGGGCAGAATTTAAAGCAATACATCATGTCTTAGTCCTGATGTCAAGCAACCCTTTGTAAGCATGTTTCCAGCTCCCATGAGCTTTACCTCCTTTGTGTGTGTGTGTGTGTGTGTGTGTGTGTGTGTGTGTGTGTGTGTGTGTGTGTGTGTGTGTGTGTGT